TTAAAGGGAAACAAAAAAAAAAAAAAAAAAAAACACATCATAGTAATTCCAATACCTTCTCAGCTTCGCATCGAAGCTAATATTGAGTGAAGAAATTTTTAATAATAAGACTGTAATATACTATAGTATAAATATTTTCTACTTAGTTAAATAAAACTCAATTTTTGTACTTAAAAAATTTGACAATAAAGTTTTTGGAGATGATTTAACCCGAAAATCAGAATTAATATCAAACGTTAATGAGTTCTTATTATTCCAAGCGTTAAAACTATCTATGATTATGACTAATGAATATAATCTATGTGTTCTACTTTTATAAGGTCATTAATGTATTAATTGTACATAAATTTATATATATGATAATAAAATGTTGATTTTAATCATTTTTATGCACTTATCTGAATGGTTGATACGTTTCATATATAAATTAATAAGGATTCAAAAATCATATTTCAACGAATAGCTTCAAATACAATTATAAAATTTAATAAGTATATAAAATACAACCCAACCCACAATTTTTACACAGTATATTAAAATAATTAAAATTACAATAGGTAAACTAGGGAGTAGAATCTAAAAAAAGATCCATTAAAATTCTACTATAGCTCCTTTTTTTATATAAAATATATTAATGAGGGAAGAAATTAAACTAGTCATTTAACATTTTTTTTCAAATTGTTCCTATGCTACTCATACACTCTGATGGAAATTTAATAAAAAATTTCAATTTCGAAATAAACTTTCTTTCCTTCACTCCGAGTATAACGAACTGAAATTTAAAACAGGTCATAATTTTTGGGAATTTTGTAAGCCACCTCTATTTTTAAAAACTAATACATTCATAAACGGTGAAAACAATTTTTTTTTTCTTAAATAATTATTTAAAAAGGGTTGATAAATAATTTACTTTATTATTTATAAATTTAATGCTTAAATTTGTGTTTATTATTGTGTAAATAAATATTAATTGACTGATTAACTATATTACCTGATTATAAAATATTGTATTAGGAACAAAAAATATTGAATTTTCTTTCCGATTAAATCAGCCGAAAATTTTATTGGTTATTAGTTTTAATAAGAAGCAAATGAAATAAGAATACTGACTTCAAAACAAAATTTTACCTGATTTATAATGTAGGCTTTTTAATCATTAAACCAATATAAACAAGATAAAATAGTAGCCAAAAGGAATTTCAACGTTAGATTACTTAAATTGCTGATCAGTCTATCTCTTATATAAATGGACTATGAACGAAATGATAATAAACTATGTCACAACAAAATTAATCCAAAATACAAAAACTCAGATAGCGAGAAAAATATGGCTTTTCTTTTGTTAATTTCTTTTAAATTGCACTTTATCAAATTGAAATTAACAACTTTATTTTAATAATAAAAGAAAATAAAAAAAGGGTTACTAATATCTTTTATATTTATTTTTACAAGAAAAATGGCATAACACATTTAACCGTAATTTCTTATTGTAACTTAAATTTACATTTTAAACATATAATAGCATTATAAATATTTAACCTTAATTCTATATAACAACATATGCAATAATACATAACATGTATAATATGTATTAATAACTTTATTGAGATTACAAATGTAATATTTAGTTACACACTGTAAAGTAAAATAATCATTAGAAGCACACACAAAAAAATCTTGAAAGAGTGAAAGGGGAATTTTTGAAAAATTATAAGAATAAAAATGATTGTCAAAGTACAAATAAAAATTAAATATCATATAATCACCGTTTTCAAAAATTAAATAACTTTTATTGATAGATATATAAATTAGTAAATACAATAAAAGAAAAACATTTGGTGTTCACAAAAATTCTCACTGTTGTAAAAATTAATTAATAGAAAGTAAAATTGTTTATAAAATTTAAACAGAAATAAAAACGCTTTTTATGTAAACATAGCACAAATAAACTTAATTTTGTACAACTATAATTCATTCATTATCTGTATAAAAATTAGAAACTAGGTACTGATTTTTTAATTTAGTTATAAGAATCAAATTTACGGTCATAATTAGTTGTCTTATGTTAATGGAAGAATATAAATGGCTGAATTCAGTGGCAGGAATAAAAAGAAATCACTAAGGAGACTATAATTAACTTTACAACATACAATAAAAGTCTGAAAAAATTTATAAGAATTAGCCACTGGTGGAACATTCAGTCTTGGTATTTTAGAATATCAATCGGCAACTATCACTAAAAATAAACGGATAATACACAATTTTTATAATATAAACCTATAATATTTATGAATATTGCATAAATAATTTTTTTTTCTTTAGTTTTTGATAACACAATAATAATAATAATTTAATTACAGACAAAAATCATGATTATTTATAAACAAGATTATTTAAACATATAATTTTAATAATATTAAATAAATAATGCAATGATTATTTTTTTATATAATTTTGTTCAAAATCTAATATTTACATTGAAAAGTAATTTAGAAATATATTTGGGTGCTAGGGATTTCTAAAAAAATGTCTTTGAAATTAACTTAATTTAATGAGGATTATTACAATTATGGCAATCAAATTAAAATTATATTATAACAATGAAAAATGTTTTGATAAAAATAAATCAAAGGGGAGCCACTCGCTTTGGAAACATTTGCAAGAGTAACTAGTTGAGATCAAACGAGATTATTACCTCCCCTCCCCATTATACAATATTAGTTTAATTTTTGTTGACCACCAATGGTAACTCATGTAAAACTCCTCTGGCCATTTCAATGTTACTAAATTATTCACTTGGAAAAATATCATATATAACAATATAATTTATTAAAATAATATACAGTATTTTTTTCTAACATTAATTATTTATAAAATAAATAACACAACAACAACAAAAAACCACACTAATTTTTATAATAATTATAATATTTAACAAATTAACATACAACAGAAAATTAAGGGTTTTTAATTTTTGTACATCAATTGGTGTTTTATTTTGGAGTGCCAACAGTTTGTACAATGATTGTATGACATCTATAGTAGGAACAAAAATGTCTAGTATGACATTTACCATTTCTAAGAATCAAATAGATATTATAAAAGTTTTTAACAGTTTTCTTATAAAATTTATTTGTTTTTTCACCTTCAATAAACCACAGTAAAACATTACTTAAACTTTAAATAATACCTTTTGTGTGGTCACATAATATTATAAAAAGTTTAAATTAAATAACATTTAATGTATAACAAAAATGTTTATTTAAATGTAATTTATTTTTATTTTTAGTGTAAATGACTGTAGCATAAATTAAACCACTTGATAAGCTTAATATCACAGGATTTATTAATATTGTTTAAGAAAATAACAACCAATGTGCATTAGAATTTAATGGGCATCCAGAAAATCAAAATTAAAATCACCAAACGTTTGTTGCTTATTGTTATAGCTATTCTTGCCATCATTAGCGAGTGGCTGATCGAGGAAATCAAAATTAAAGTCACTAGGGCTAAATGTATTGCGTGGAGGCAAACCTGAGTTAGTATTAATCATTGATGTTTGATTAGCAATTGGTTGCATTGCTGAACTAGTTTGAGGAAATTGCTGGTGAGTATTATTAGGATAATTTGATGCAGACATATTACGTTGGTATGGACTTCCTGTATTCATTGTTGTTTGCTGTTGTGTATAAGATTGTTGTTGTTGAGCGCGCATCATAGATTGATGTTGTTGAGATGGAGACTGTTGTTGCTGTAGGATTTGCTGTTGTTGATTCATAATTTGTACAGGATTACCACCCATTCGCCCAGAAACACCACCACTCATTTTCATGTTCATAGATTGAGACATTTGCATATTGACTGGCATCTGTAAAAAATTTATATGAATCAATACTCAATGGTTAATAAGATACACACTAAATGCACTAATAATTTTAGATAAAGAAAATATACTTAGTGTTATTTAGTAAAATATTTAAGTCGTGATTTATTTTCTAATCATTAACTTAAGAACATGTAGATATCTTAAAGTTTAAAGTTTATTCAAAAATATGAATATACAAATGTATTCTTTTTCTTCTACCTTGCCTTAATCCCAAATACTTGGGGTCGGCCACCCTTATCCTAAACTTCTATGAATACACACACAAATTTTTTAACTTTAATTTTATAATAACCTTTTGTTTTACAAAAAAAAACCCTAATTATTCATAAATAATGAGTTCATATTTATAAAAATTATGATAACATTTATTTGTGTTTATTTTAGTTTATACCACAAACTAACATTATGAACTATTAGAAATTATATGAATATTTATTCTAATTATTTTTCTGATAATATTATGAAACTATTATAATGGTCTCTAAATTTAGTAAAAACTCAACTAATGGGTTCTGAATTGATTAAGTTCTACTGAATCCTTAAAAAACTATAAGTATTAAATAAAATAAATATATATTACATTTTTAGTAGCAAATTGAAATTCATTGTATAAATTTATAATTTTATCAAACACAATGTTTTTTATCATTTTATGATTGATTTCCAACACATATAATTAAGTTTTTTTAACACAAATTAAAAATTTTAAATCATAATTACTTGATTATTTTGAGATTGTATATTAATATTCGTATGCTGTTGTTGTGTTAAAGTTTGTTGACCATTGCCTAATCTAGATGACATGTGTTGCATTTGGCCAGCCATAAGGTGAATATTTCCAGAGCTACTTGTCTGACATGGATTCAAGTTGGTATTGTTTCCTCCAAATCCTCCACCAATATTAATTGGGCCAGAATTATTAGGTTGGTTCATATTGCCCACTACAAAAAGAAAAAAAATAATTTGTTAAAAGATTGTAAAATGATCGGCTAAAATAAGTAGATGGCTCAAAAACATTACTTGAAGTTTGAGAGAATGTAGGTCTAAATTGTTGTTGTTGATGTTGCTGCTGTTGTTGTTGCTGTCTTGCAGCTAATAGTTGTTGCCAATCACTATTAAAAGCTTCTGAGCTAGGTGTTACATTAGGTGGCCTCTGAATATTAGCATTACCTGGATACATCATATTTCTTTGTACAGATGACATTCGGTCATAACTACTAGCCATTGTACCAGAATTTCCTCCTCCACCAGTATTAGCCATTTGAGAACGAAGCATGGGCCCTGAAAGTTGAATTATATAATAATCATTATATGTTTAATTTAAAAAATAACACAAAAGTTTACCTGATGGCGGAATAGGTTGCTGTTGCATTGGTCGTCTCGTTTGAGCTCCTTGAGGTGGCATTGGTTGTCGAGTAGGTGGAATATAACTTCCTTGTGAAGGAAATTGAGAAGTTTGGCACATGCTCATATTTTGAGTTACATTCAGTTTATACTCAGGTGGTGGTGGTCTACATGTACCAGAACTACCCATCATATTTATTTGCTATAAGTAATTAGTCAATAAATTATCAGAGTTAACTCAGAAGAACTAAAATGACATGTTTTAAACTTACTGGTGTCCTATTCATATGTTGGGGTAACATGTGATGTTCATTAGTTATGTTTGATTGTTGAACATTATTTGGTGGTCTAATAATATTTGTAGGACTGGCACCTGCGGTCAACAAACGAGCTCGCTGCTGCGAAAATGTTATACTTTGTGATTGACTCATATGCATATACGACTGTTGGCCATTGTCGCCACAATTGGAATTATAATACTGCATAGGACCACTACCAACACAATTTGAAGACGCAGAAGAAGTTACAGATGGTCCAATTAGCCTGTCTTGGATTTGAGGACCTTGACCAAATGACTGCTGACAATATATTCAATAATTTAGTTAATTTTTTTAATCGTATAATAAAATTGATATTAACAAAAAATCAAGAGTATTTTTTGTAAAAATAAAATACAAATTAATTAAAACGAGTAAGCAAATGGCGAGGTGCAGAAGTGAAAACAAAAAAAAATAAAATAAAGTTCTAAACATTTAATGGAAATTTGTTTCTGATAAATCTCAACCGGAATTGAATTTTTCTATACTAAAAGCTATTTATATTATTTTAATTGTACTATATGGATTTTCTAATGATTCGTAATTGTAATAAAAGTTATGTTCTTATTAATTTTGGTCATTGCGTGATGAAAATTTATTAGATAATTAAAAATGGAATTATTAGCTGTGATTTTAAATAAAATTCAGAAACCATATACTTGAATATGTAGTAACTTACACGTGTTTTTCTCTTTTAATTAGTAAATAATACTATTTGTGTTTAAATTTATAATTAAAATGAACTACAAAAATATTAATGAAGATATTTTATATTTTTTAATTAATGAAGTCTTTTGGTAGTTGAAAAATAAAAAAATAATTGACAAAATGATAATCATCATGCCTGTTAGATTAAAAGAGGACTTAGTACGTCTTGATAATTTTTAAACAAAAAAAAAATCTTTTGAACAATAATTTACCAGAAAAAATCACAAGTTCTCATTAAAAATACGTTTAAACATTTTTGTGCTTACCAAATGAAGGGTAAGAGTTATTATTATATTGTCATTTTTATCGCCTGAATAATTATTAAGTGCAAAATGGTAGCACAGCAACAGTTATTGTTAAAATAATTCACAGGAAGTCTATATTGTCTTGCATAATAAACCATCAGTGATAGTGAACGGATAAAAACGCGCATACATAATAATATTGTAGTTCGGACTTAGTGTCGTGACCATTGTTGCCAACATTCGTGAACGACAATTGAATATAATTTAAAACCTATTATGCAGCGTCCCCGAGTTTCTGTTTGATAAGTTAAAGCCAATAGCCAAAACATATTATGGTGAAGATTAAAACAATATCGCGTCGCTAGTTGTATCTACACAATTCACAATGCACGTTCGAATGTAAAAAAAAACGTTGATTTTACACATACAAACATTTGAAACTACTATTTAGGCCAAAATAATCAAGCTAATAATAATAATAGTAATCTAAATCGAGTAGCACCGGCACGGGTGTCATTAAACACATGAAAAAAGGAAGGGCCACAATCATAATGTCAGAGAGAGTATAAAGGAGAGTATTGAGAATGCCCCCTCCCGTCAATTTGATTAGCATGATCGAATCGTGAACTATTTATCAGTACGCTTACGGTAAGTATGCGTTTGCGTACAATATTTAAGTATTGAATTAGGTAACTGTTACTACGCAGAGAAAGCAAATGACAAGTACAGGAAGCGAATTAATACAAAAAAAAACAACAAAAATAACTAAATAAAATTACAGACATAAAGCAAATGAGATTATAGCCTAATTTATCGACAGTAAAATTTAAGACTCTAAAAAAAAACATGTCCAGTTGGATAACATAATACTACAGTATAAATGTGAACAATGAGTAAAAAAGTAACTTAGGTTGTAGTATAAATTACTATAGTCATACACTTTTCAAAACTTAATCACAATAATTCTAATCAGAAGAAACTCGTTTGAGTTTTACTGAGTGGCTTCTAATGGGTCTAATAGCGTCTTTTATACGACGCAGGTTAATGTACTAGAGAACTTGTACACAACTTGTACACTTGTACACAAATGTACAGATGTCGCATTTTATTCGCTTAACTTAGGAATAATAATGTGTATTGATATTTAAGCTCCTGCGTGGTCACCCATCCGCAAAAGGATAGAGATAGCACGGAGTCATAGCAGCAATTCCGTTGCGCCACGCCATGCGCTAACAGTTTGTATGAAATTACCTGTTGGCCTTGTTGGCTAACGTGGACTTGCTGAGATTGAGTCATCTGAAAAGTGTTGACATCTGGACTAGCTACATTTGGCTGAGGCGAGAGCACGCCTGTCGCTGCCCCAGGTGATGGCGTTATTCTACGTGCACCAACTGGAAATTGTGGACTACCATGTCCGTTAAACTGATTGTACCGAGATTGTGGAGATGGCTGAGGTTGAGGCTGAGGCTGCTGTTGTTGTGGAAGAGTCTGTTTTTGGCGCGCTGATGCGGCAGTTGCTTGCTGCTTCATCCTAGGTTTAGGCGGTTCAGGGTAATAGTTGTTATTTTCTTGTTGCTGCTGTTGTTGTTGCTTTTCTTGGTGGTAGATCGAGTTTACCGGTGACATCATATTGTAACTTGGATTAGGAGTGCCGGCTGGCGTACTCGGAGAATGGATATAGTCAGGCACAGATCCAGGAGACTGATAAGGAAAATCGTAACCGCATTTATCAGGTCTCTGTTGATTGTTGTGCTGTTCTGCCAACTGCTTAAGAGTCTCGGCTGCTACGCAATTGGAATAATTATTATTGGCACCACCATTGCCACCAACTCTCTGCTGTTGTTGATCAAACGGAGATTTGACCGGTGGCGTACACCTCTGTTCCGATTCTGTCTTAATTGGTCGCTTATCACACAAATCCACTTGGTGGAAATCGGCGGGCGTAATACCTTCGCTATTCAAATCCGAAATGATTTCGGTAAGCGTATCTGTATCCACTGCTAACATAGGTTCATTAGTATCATTGTTAATAAAAGACAGGTCGTTGAGGTCGCTGTCTCCCGGGAAATCCATTAGGTCAGGTTGTTCTTGTTTACACTCCATCGTGTCAGATGGACCAAGTGTAGTCGGTACTGCGCCAGAGGCTGTTGGCGATTGTTTGGTAGTCACGTCACTTTGTATAGAAGTATTAACAGACGTAAGCGTGAGGTTGGTGGATATTTGAGCGTTGTGTTGGTGCTCGCTAGTGCTGAATTCCAATTCTTGTACGATTTTTACGCTAAATTTGGCATTGTTAGCGTTGTCATTGTTTTTATTAGAGTGCGGCGATGACGACGATGACGATTGTTGGTTATTATTGCTCTGCAGAGGAACTCCTTTCGGCGGAGGTGGTAGTCCGTCATGATTACCGTACTGCCCGTTGTCTGGTCCATCCAAGTCTTCACTGGACGGTCTTTTAACGCCGAATTTCTATAAAATAATAATAATAATAATATTAGTCAATGGTGTAACATGCATAATTCTATAAAAGAGAAAATATTCACTAATCTGGGATAAGCTACAAGAAGTAACGCGGTAGTAAGAGCCAAACAAATCACAAGGCTTTTTATGGCCTATAAATATGTACGATAATAATATTATCGTAATATTAAATACTTTCTCTATAATTTTTACAGTGCGGGGGAAGAGTAACGGTATAGAATAAAGATTCTGAACTGAAAAGGCTATAATTAAGAATTCCCAAAAACATTTATACAATTTTCACGAAAGTAATTAAATGTAAATTAATAATAAAACTAAACTTCTTCCTCGTCTGAAAGTAGATTTTTTACTACTATTAGCTGCTCATTTTCGTTGGCGGAGGTTATGCAAAGTCCAAGAATGTTGGCCTACTTTAAGTCACAGGTATTGTAGCCACTGTCTGCTACATACAACTAACGCATTCGTCGTACGTATTGTAGATTTATTTTGAAACAACTACAACAAATTAATTCTAACTGTTCAAATAATTCTAAACTGTTAATTATTCATTAAAATTTATTTTCTTTACATTGAATTGCATTTGTAATGCATTACTTTTTTCTTTTTAATTAAAAAAAGGAATTATATTACTAAAATAATTGTCATTAAACGCCAAATATTTCCTGAAAAAAGAATCGGCGGTCGTTCACCCTGCACACATTTTGTTTTTCTCTTTCTCTTACTCTACAATTTAATTTCTTCGTGCTCCTATCGAATGCAACTTTTTGCATTCGGGAACGATATAAAGATGCCAAATTAACATTGTTTTTCTACTATTTCATAAATTAAGTCAAAATTGTTCAAATATATAGGAAAACTAACTAATAAAAAAAAAGGTTGGGTGATTCATATTTTTAAATTTTTATTATGCAACTAATGTTAATTTGTTTTATTTTTTCGTTAATAATTAAAACTAATATTTTATTTAGAGACTTAAAAATATTTTAACTCTATGTTTCTTTTATATAAATGTTCTTTAGTAATTTTTTCAAAATAAATTTCTATATAAAAAATATACAACCCCGCCATCGATACATTCCGTTGTAGATGACGTTCAAATGTTAGGTTAGGTTTATTTTACTGGCAAGTACAGCGTTGCGAGTGGCGGGACAAACTGTTGGGGTGAAATGTACGATAAACATTGATCATGTTTGTGCTTCTATTGAAAAAATTGAAAATTTTACTTGGAGAATATAAATTCGATTGCTCTATAGGAATTTCTGATTTTCAAATAAGGTTTAAAAAGTTCCAAAAAAAAATCTTCTAGAAATTAAATGATTCGAAAACGATTTGTGCATCGTTCACCGATGAAAACTCAATTTCATGGTTAAAAATCGGAGCATTATAACTGTTTCGAGAGAATATTATAATTGTTAGTTGGCTTGCTCGTAGAATAAAATATATATATTTATAGTATAATTGTACCGTCGAATGACGTTTCTCGTGTGTATACACATATTACACGGGGATAGTATAGAGGGGTTGAGGGTTAATCAATACTAACTCCAAACTGTGGCAGGAGGAACGTTCCGTCTTTGTGTGCGTGTTAAGTATACTGCCGTCGTCCTATCGGTGTCATACCGTCGCCGTTTTATTGTACACATAATACTACAGTTACCCAAAACAATAACGACGATACGATAATTATTGTACCGATACAATAAATTTTTTCCCTTAATGCATTTGTACGAACCAAGTATAATATGATATTTTCAAAAGAATTTAATGGATAATAACCCAAAAGAATATCTGGCATTCCAAACGAGATAAATAGGGAATTAATACAGGTCATATTTGTATTTGTTTGATTCGTTTTTTCTCTTTAGGGGTAAACAAAGCTTTTCGCGCAACTCAACCCGCGTCGTTGTTCTCCGAAAACTGTTGTCCCCTCTGCCAACCTCCAGTCCAAGATGCGTCGCGCCGTCCAATTACGCATATCGACGCCGTTGGCTACCACACCGCGTGCAGTGGCCCCGAGTCCGCAATCGTACATGCGCGATTTTGGACAGTGAAAAGGTAATGAAAATATACGTTGGATGGCTGGTTTTACACGATTTTTAAATAAAAAAGAGCAATTCAATAGTATACACGCAAATCGATTTACAATCCTATCCAAACAGGTTTTACTTTTCTCAAATTAATATCAAACGCAAGTTCAATCGACCCGTAGACTTATAAGTAGCAATAGTATGTTTTTACGTAAATACAGTCGCTAAAGTTGTCTCGTCTATAACTTAAACATCTAATTTTCTATGATTAATTGTCAACTTGGGTTCAACATGGCTAAACCAGCAATAGGTCATCCCAGTACACTCGGATGTTTTGAATTATTACTAAAATACTATTTAATTGGTCGAATTATGCTCATATTACTAATTTTCCACGGAATTTTTCAGGTTATAAGCTTTACATCAATCACTGGCACAAAAGCAAACCACCTGTAACACTACAACATTGGATTCTTATAATGTCGTTATTATAAGTGGATAACATTACAAACGGACAATAACTTTATACTACACAAAAATAACTTTAGGTACTTTATTGCAATAGCTTAAATAGGCAGAGTTATTCTGTTTTCATTTGTTTATTTATCCAAAATTTTTATTAGAATAGAAGAAAAAAGAATTGCACTAATCAGGTTAATAATACATTTTATAGTTAACTGAACAACCGCAAGAAACCGAAGGTAGTTAACAATTAATTGATTTTATGAGAAATGATAGTTAAAATATAAAGTATAATTAAGATACAATGAAGGAGAAAAAAATAAATTATATTAATTAAATACTTCAATGTTAAGTTTCAGGTCTACAAACATATATTGACACGCAGTAATTAGAATGCATAAAACACATAAATATAGTTTTTTAAGTATTGGAGATAATTCTTAAGCGACTAGCTATAAAGTCTTGACCTATTAACTGTATCGACATGGACGAGAGAATGAACCCGAGAAACCCAGCTCAATTGTGCGTTCCCCTTAGCAGCTAAGCTCTCTTCTCTTTGCTCCTTTAATATCCCAGATTCCAAGAAAACAGAAAATAATTATTCAAAAACTTTGATCCGTGAAAACGTTGGTATTTTATTCTGTTGAATACCACCGGTGCTTGATCGATTTTAATGCTTCAAATGTGTTGACACGGACATGGTGTTGCACGAACGATGTATAGTTCGTGCAACTATAATCGAAGACTACAGTTTTCAATTTAACATTATATTAAGCTTCGGTAAGAAATTCTACAAAAATGAAACACTACGACAAACATTTAGTTTTTAAGCTGTCGTTAGTCGAAAAGATTAAATTAAAAATTAATTAAGATTAAAAGTAAAATAAATCTTAGGGGCAGAATTCAATATTTGAGATAAATTACAATATTATTACCCATTAAAATATGTCTGGCTGCAATACTTCATAACTGTTTTTGATCCTAAACTCGCCCTATGCGCTTTGCCCGGACTCCTCTACGTTTAAAAAGCTTTCATTTGATAAGCTAATTGATTAGTATGCTAGACTATTAAAATTTCATAAAAATCAATATAATTTTGGACAAGTTATAGCAAATTAAAAAAAATGACGAATTTTTTCAGAAATTTTGAAATTTCAGGCAATTAAGTTAAATAACTCTTAAGAAAAATAACGTCGAGGTGTTTTTCTTGTTTTCATCATAATGAGTGTGCGGTCTCTCATTTAAACACTTTCTGTTCTCAGGTTTTTCAGTAGATTAAATATTAAAATTAATACCTTCTTAGCTTCATATTAATGCTGAAAAATGAATTTTTTTTTTTCAATTACTTAAAAATGAAATTTTGTTTCTGTTTATGATAATGTTTTTTCATCTTTTCTGTTATCGTTCTCTCTTTTTTTTTTATATTGTTTGGTGGTTTGTAACGTTATTTGATAACGCTTTCCATCCCTGGTATTATGTGTTAATAGAAGCTGCTATGTACAAGAATACAGCTGATCCTCAGCTATACATGTAAACTTTATTTGATGTTGACACGCACATGGCACCTACCAAACTTTCCAATAACCTCATATAATTATCCAGATTTACGTAATTGACAATAATTAAATATCATTGCGTATACATTGTTATATTTCATCGACTGCAAGAGGTACGAGTGTATATATTCTAAACGTTTCTTATTGCAGCATGATCATTATGATCAACTTTCATGTTTTCACCATGTGAAAACTCAATATTGACTTTACTTGATAGTAAGGCGATGAGCGTAAACAAATAATAAATTATGAATGTATTACAAAACGTATTGCTACTAACGACTTTGATTTGTAAATCGTACAATCGTATCATATTGTTTACAAAAAATATAATAAAATAACACAAAGGGGACAATATAAGAGGCAATTGCAAAAAGGAGGAAAACTGTTTTAGGGGAGGAGAAAATATAAACGCTTGCGTCAAATCAGTCACTATTCATACGAAACTCATGTTTTTTCACGCAAATATACACAGCCTAAGAGGTAGAAAATTCTTCAAACGATTGTTTCGGAAATAACTGAAACTAATCGATAACGCTGTTATCATTATTATTTTTTTGATTAATAAACCGTTGCATACGTAAGTGTGGACACGTTTTGTTTATGTTGGTTGTAATATAAAATCTGGTCGTAATTTGCCATTTGCCCCTCCATCGCGCTGAAGGTGGCCGCCAACAGCAACAACGACTGTAAACCGTTATTGTCTTTAACCTCGGACTGTTGCAACACCTAACCACCCCCACCTGCGAGACTAAATCATCACAGCTGAATGTCGTATGTAGAAATATTTTTAACCGTGTTGAAACTTCAATTTAAACAACGATGATTGTATGTAACGTTATTTCATCATTTTTTTTTTTTTTTTTAACTTGTCGTTGAATTAAATTATAAAAGTAATTCAAATGAATTTTTTTAAACAAATATTGTAATTTTTAGAATAAAA